AGAGAGAGAGAAGAGGAAAAGGATAAAATAAAGTGTAGTGCCGTAAGTTTTTGACATAAGACTTATTTTTGGATATTTTAATTTCTCCATCTGATAATGTAAAGGTGCCACATAAAAATGTGTGCTATTTATAAATAAAGTACTTTCTGGCTTTTTAGTATAGCAAAAGTAAACTTCATCGTTAACTTTCTAGAAAAAGCAGTATGGAATATGCTGCTGCTCCTAAACTGAAGTATTTAAATGTGCTGAAAATATATCAAAGAGGTTCAATATATACAGAACGTCTGGACTGTAAGCGATTGCTTCATCTTAGGCTTTTAAGACCGTATTAGTTAGTAGAATAATCACTCAAAAGCATGGCTAGCACTGAAATTACATAGAAAACTATGTCGGCAATACACATCCAAAGTGTTCCATGGTTTCAAGTAAGGCACCATTGAAGTATAAGGTAGGCCTAAAGATGATGCTTATTCAAATTCTCCCTAGCATGAAATCCCTTTCAGATTATTATTTTGAAAAAAATAAATACTGCACGTGCAATACCTCTCCCTCTTCTGACACCATAGAAATCCACTTTTTCTCCACCTTTCTTCTCCTTGTGAGGGCCCCCATTACTGGCTTTGCCATCTTCTCCTCCATGCTTGACTTCGCCTTTTTCTTGAACTGTTTCCTCTACATTGTTTCTAAGTTGGAGACACCCATGTGTCATGTCAGCACGTCCTGGAAAACCTGTATTTTCTACCAGAAGACTGTGATCTACATCCAAAAAATGGGATGAAGGCTTTAAGGATCCTTTGGCTGATGTGATGATCTCCAAGGGCTACAAATTAAATTAATGCGTTATTAAATTCAGTAAAATATGACAGATAATCAATAATAAAAAGAAGCATCCCCTCCTCTTTCACTTTAAGAAAATATTTTGCCCAGCATCAAGACTTCTCTGTTCAAAGGAACAGTATTTTCCCCATAGATTGGGATTGTTATTATCTAAAGGTCCTTTTCAGATTTGAAAGGTTATCAACTCATTTGAGGCAAGTATTCTCAGGAGAGTGGTAACACTTAAAGCTGCACAGGAATTTCCAAGATACAGTCATGTGCAATGATCACGGAAACGGAACTTTGAAAAGAGCTGAGAATGTTTCCTTATGAAACTGTCGTGGCCTCCCAGGCAGTGAATAGGTTTTCTAGCTCAAAGTGGGAGCCACAGTCTGCAAGCTGATGAAATGCACTCAAAACTAGCTGGCTGTACCTGTTCCTCTCAAATAAATGAATAAATAAACAAAGGTCCTAATCGTCTCCTATCTCTCAAAGCCTGTGACATGTAGGAAGATATTAAAAGCAGATGGTATGCATATATTAATAAGGTCACACACATGCCAGAACAGGATTGCCCTAAGGTGCTACCAGCACCACTCTGTTCAGGGCAAGGACAGCTACGTGAAGGAAAAACAGTCCAAGGAAGGAGTGAGGAAGTGGAAACTGCTGGCCAAATCCTGCTTGTCAAATAGCAGTTTTTAAACCCCAATGATCAGATTTAAGAAAATGAATTTGCTAAATCTTTTGCAATAAAAATATTGCTTATTTTTTCACAGAACTTTTTCTAGCTTGAATTAGATAATACGTACTTCTATTTTTGTTTTTATTTACATCTACCTGAACATTTGTAATTCTGTTCAAGCCTAGATCTTTTCTCACACAGGTTGGGAAATCTGACAAATTATCCACCCACCTCTGTTAAGGACTCTCAAACAATCTCAAATGATACAGAAAACAATTGGGAAATCACCTACATAACACATCTTGCAGCACTTCTTCCAAATCACCTTTCCCAATGTGTTTCACTATTGGGTATAATTCTGTTGGACTAAAAGGAATTCTCGAGGTCCTCAGGAAACAGCTGAACAAGAGAACGCTACAATATCACAGTACTCAGTGGGCTTTCTGAGCCCATCTCTCATTCACACATTCTTCCTCAAAATCAGGAAAAAATTGGGTGTTTGAGCACAAAGTCGATGCTTAAGCTGTACCTCCTTCAGAGAACTGAGCAAGTAGGCCAATTAAGATCACAATAAAATGAGTAAGAGCACAAATTCAGCCAAAATTAAGCCAGCAGAGTTGGTGCCCACCCCTCATATAAAAGTCAGAGGTGTCTTGGAGCTGAAGAAAGTAGAAGAGCCCCTGGAAATTATCACTTCTCCCACTTCTTTAGACCTAGAGCTGCTTTCCAGCCAGCTACTTCGGCTCACTCCCTATTCACTCGGAGACACAAATGCAGAATTCATGAGGCTGGAAGAAGCAAATGCAAGAAGCACAGTTGCAAAGATACTCCCCTGCTTATTAGGGCTAGCTGGATCTGGTCCCTACATATGTTGCAAGGCCCTAAAGCCATCTGTAGACATAGCTCTTGGTTTCATTGTGCTGTTATCTTTGGCACATTTCATCCTCTCGTGAATGATCTGAGGGCAAAAATTTCAAGGCTTTTAGATCAGTGGCAACCAAATTGTAAAAAACTAACAACAAAAAGAACAGAAATGGCTACTTGAAGAGAAGAAAGCTATCCATGAATTACTTCATTTACAACTGCATGCAAACGTTCAGCTAACGGATAGGAACATCTTTAAAAGCAATCTATCAACTGCAAAATGTTTCTAGAAACACTGTACTCTTACCTCTTCTAGTCCAAGTTGCTCCATAGAGTCACAGTAAACTTCACTGTCTGAATCACTAGTTAAGTGCGG